ATGGACGGGATGATTTCTTAATAAACGAGATCCTCATTTTATGCAATAAACCTTAATAACATAAAATGAGGGGATGGGAGGCAAAAAGCAATACTTTCCTGGAAATCTAAGAGAGTACTTTTTTGCAAGTATCAAAGCGCTATGCAAAAATATGAAATGAATAAACAAATCAAATTAAGAAGCCTAGTAACTGGAGAAATATTGGGCTAAATTCATGCCTTGTGACACAGCAGCAACACTGATGAAGTACATCAGAGACAGATTTGGCCCACTACGTTTTGAGCATTAATTTGATCAGGAGCAGTGAGTCAACAACGCAAATCCCACACAGCGAGGAACTTCGCTCTACCACCATTGTAAGCACCAAGCACAACAGTTTGGATTAGTAAATGGTAAAAATGCAAAAGCTAAACATTTTTGCTATTATAGAGTATAAAAGAAACAGCAATGTTAGGAACAGAGATGAGGTGGAGGCTCGTCATCTTGAGAAAGGCGATTTTTTCAAGTGAATTCAGTAGTCCTCTCCACCTCAAGACCACAACCTGGCTGCCCACTGGCTGCGCAGGCTGCCCTGCGCTGCTCCTCCCGTCATGCCTCGGGTACCTTCTGAGGCGCACATCAAGACGGGAAGACTCAGTGTTGTGCTGTTAACCCCCCAAGAAGGCTGTTGACACAACGGGACAGGCCTACAGCGGTACATTGGCTACCTGTGAACAAACCCTGGGCAAACCAAAAAAAATGCAATTCCTTCCCCTTTGGATGTGCATGTAAAGGAGAGGGCTGTGAACACCCTTTGCCAGCCCCTCGCCTAGGTGCTGCCTGCCCCGCAGCAATGCCGGTGTGGAAGCCCACCATGCTGCACCCTGTACCGTCCAGGAAGGACTCAGAAAACCCGTGCTTGTCCAGCCACCTACCTGTCTGATCCTCCTAGCTTGCCTGCTGAGACAGAGAGGCTGGCGAAGGACTCTCATGATGGTGCTTTTTCCTAGTACAGGTATTTATCATCTCAGGATGGAAGACACCAACCATTTCGGACTTGTCAGTCTCTACTTGATCCCTGCACAACTTGGATCCAAGCATGGTCACACAGAAAAGCCCTTACATTCCCCACCCCCTCCTAACGCAAGCTAGCAACTCTTAAAACTCCACTGAGCATTTTTCAAAAGTTTTCCTACAAGGTTTACGTTGGCCATTCAACAGCCTTGGGTACTCGGGGCAGAAAGGCAGATAGCACCTTTCTACCATCAAATATATTAAAACTAGTGCTTCTGTCCCCTGCCCAAAGTGCAGTAATGCAGGCATGATCTGGACCACTATGTGAGATCAACTGCGACCATTAGAAAGAGTAATAGAAAACCCAGTACACGACCAGTTGGGGGGGAAAAAACCTGTCACTTGTGATAAAAAAGAGAAACAGAAATGGATTTGAAACATTCGTTTCCCTTTATTTGCTCAGTGAGGCTGATGTGTACTGCACATTAAAAAAAAAAAAATCACAGGAATTTTCATACAATGAATTAAACCACAAAAGCACATGTAGAATTGGCAGGTGGAAAATAGCCCAGCTTGGGCTTAACTAATATCTTGCTTTCCCTGTTCAGCATAGTCCAACCAATAGCTTTACATGTTCACCTACTGTACAGATCTTACAGTAGCTCCATCAGGTCAGTGGTTCACATTATTAAAAATGTCTGTCACATAGGTACAAATTTAGAATCATCACATTATATTACATGGCTATTCTAGGTCATTTATAGATCAGATCTTATACTACAGTGATTGAAGTTCTCATTACAGCCATCAAAAAGGACACATAATCATTACCTACTGTAAGCTTACATCTAAAGGGATGAGAAGAAGGTGTGATTGTTTTTTTTTTCAACTGACCCAAGTATTATACCCTAGAGGCACAAACTTTCCTCTCAGTGCTGCTCTTGGTGATGGCAGCCCAACTGCTTTTCAGAGTAGTTTAGCACAGGTATTTTTCTTCAATTTTAGGCTCCCTCTGTTTGGATTTGGATCATTTTACATTCTGTAGGAATTACTTTGTTACGGCTCTAGGAAAGACCATAGTTCCTAAGTACCAGTTCTGTTACCTGTATTGCGGATGTGGTACTTACCACAGCATGAAAGCAACAGTACAATCTTCATCTAAAAGACACTCAGAGCTATGCTGCAATTTGCCTCCGATGACAATGTGGTACATGTGCTAATTTGAAATGTTCTTGGGGGAGAAAAAAAGAAAAGGAAACACCGAGTTTGTATTTTGATGGGTTACCTACTACAGTGTCTACAAAGGATACAAATAGCTTTATTCAGCAATCCTAGCTCTATTAATTTCATATGTAATTTGTAAATCCACAGAGGAAAGCCATCTTCAAGATGAGAATGTTTGCCAGGCCAGTGAAAAAAAAAAATTGACTCATGTCATTATGCCTGCTTGGTGAAAAATAAATAATCCCCCGCCCAAAGCCCATACCAATTTATTCATGTCAGCAATCTAGGGCAAAAGAGAATGTATTTAAAATTTAATCAAAGAAATTTAAAGGCAAAATAGGTAATGCATCTGGTCCTTGAACACATAATATGATATACTAAATATTGATTTCTTAAAAATAATTTATTGCTTTTAATATTTTTCTTTACAACAGAAGATACTCAAAATCCAGAAAGGAAAATTGTAAACTTTTAGTTTGGCATTCACACAAAGTTAAAATACCTGCATTTTTAACCTACAGAGCAACAACAAGAATTACGCAGATTAAAGAATGTTACAGTCGTAACACAGAACCTCCGCAAAAGTTCTTTTCTTTTTTTTTTTTTATTGCTATCTATCTACTGAGAAATAAGAAGCCAAAAAATCAAGCAAGCATCCGACAGGACAGACAGTGGAATCTCTCAGAACACAATATGCTGGTGATAAAATGAATGCAGCCATCAAAATCAACTGCACTGCCATGGGGGTGGAATCGGTTCTCTAAGATTGGGAGTGGGAAAGGAGATTAAATAGTTAGGTGTGCCATACCTTTAAGAGGAGTCATGAATGCCAAACAGTAATAGAATACCAAATCTATACATTCGCAAGCAAATTCCAAACTTTGCTGATTCAGTCTAGAGACTCCGAGTTCAGATGAAATTCTGATGCTCAGAATAGCAGTAGTTTACTCTTGTGGTTTTTTTCTTTCCTGAAGTTTCTATTTAATTTAGCAGAAGCAATGTCATCAGCAACAATGTCATGGGCACATCTGAGGCCATGCTAGTGCATAGTAAAAAAAGAAAAAAAACCCAAACAACTCACTGCTTCTGCAAAAGCTGAATTTCCAAACGAAGCACTTACCCCGAACTGACAACCGTCATGCATCCTAGGTATAAAATTTCCACTGGCCTTTATTATTTTAGTCATCTCATAATTTATAATAAATAGGATAATTGTAACTGATAAATATGTCTCTTTAGTAAACAAAGGAATGAAGGATAGGTATTTATACAGGATGCATAACTGTAAAAAATATAGATAAATACCATCATTAAACTCTGCCAATGAAAAGCTTACTGGCTTCAAGAACAGTGTTTAGACACAGAATTACTGTAAAAATCATACTGTACTTAGTACCTCAGCATATTTTTATCAAATTAAAATCACAAAAATTAAAACAAAATAGCATTTTAAAAAGATTTTTGTCCTCTAGTTCCAAAACTACTGTTGATACATAAAATAAAAACATTTCTTAATGATTACCCATTTGAGAGACTTTACATAAAATTATGGTATCTCCTAGAAAAATTTAGATGAGAAAATTCCATTCCCCTAACAAATTCAGTGTATAAAACTGCAAAAGAAAATCAAGCAATGAGAAAAATGTGGAAAAATACTGCAGAAGTGGTTAATACCTTTTGGGCTAGGACAATTCTTGACAAAATTCTTATATAAGCTCACCAAAGAAGGGATGAATGTGTGTAAAGCATTTTTGCACTCAGACACACGCGCGCACACATATACACACGCACACCCTCACCCACACGCTTTTCTCTCTTTTTTTTACAATCAAATATATATAAGCGTAAGTTCAGCTTTCTACATATGTTAGTGTACAATAATTGTTTCACCTCATATAATTACATTTGAGTATTCTTGATTAAGAAAAATTCAGCAGTTTTTGAAAAGAAGGCTGCATTTACAGTGCATAGCTGTAACAAAAAACATCGTCATACAGTATGTACATAAATAAAAATACTCCATTTAACATTCGTAAATACTCAACTACTTTAGAGAATGTAGCAAATATACTATCTGTGCACACACCCAGATAGTTATATCCAACTCTCATTAATAATGTAACGCCACGTCCGCTCATTAGAATAAATCGCTGAACAAGCTGCACATTTGACCATTAACAAGGCTTTGAAAATTTTGCTGTGGAAGATCAACGTTGTAGACATTTACATGGGTGTCAGAATTAAAAGATGAAACTTCAAAATGTTAGGGAAGCTTGAGCCTTTCATTTTCTCTTCTGCAAGGACTTAAAAAATAACCCACAAAAAAAGAAAACCCAAAGAAAAGAAAAATCTTAAAACAAAGCTAAAACAGATTGTAGGCGTCTGGGACCTGTGGTTTCTTCTGGATTGTCATATTATCACTGTGTTGTGAGAAGAAGCTTCATTTAAAAAAAAAAAAATAATGCAGTGTCTGATTCCCAGACATCAGCAGCCATAGTTCTCAAATTTGTTTTGTTTTTTTTTGTTTGTTTGTTTTTGTTCTTTTTTTGTTAAAATGCAGTATGTACAGATTTTGCAGTTCATCGTTGTACGTGTTATCTCTGTGGAACTGCTGCCATGTCTCGTGGTTTGCATCGAACTCGCAAGGAATGCCCGGCTCCCCCGCCACCGATCACCCGCGAAAGCAAAGCTGACACCCATGGACACGTGTGTGCTTACTGGACAGCCATCCTGCCTTTCCACTCATTGAGCAGCTGTGTTCATGTAAACCATGGTTCTGAACAGAGAGTGTAAAGTAGGAGAAATTCCTAAGTATGACTTTTTAATTGTCCGTTATTGAAGGACGTGATGTCCGTGAGGTATTCGCCATCCCTCCATTTTCCTCAGGTGTGATGCATGTTACCTACGCAGGCTCCGCTGTGCCTCTTTAAGTAAACTATCAAAATCCATGGAGTCATACTTGCTTTTAGTGGAAGCAGGATCAAAATCATCTGAGTTTGAATCTGAAACCCAAAGGACGCAAGTTTAGATAAGAGGCAAGAACCACTAGCGAGTACTTACATTATTTTCTCTGTACAACAAGATGAACAAGGCACTGCAGAAACAATCCAGTTACAACCACTACTTTATGGGATGATAAAAGCCCAGAAACAGTCATCAGAGAAGCTTTAGGTATGGATAGAGCTTTCTGGTAAGAAGCAGGACTTAACAAAAGTGGTACACATCAGCAGCAGTGGGGGAGAACCATAAATTGCATGTACATACAGAGCAGGTAAACTCAAAACACGCTGCTATGTATAGGTCTCAAAGCAGTCCAGATAATCTTGACAGATGCTTTACCCAAAACTTCTCCATCGTTTCGTAACTGTTGTTTTGCAACATGCAATATCCAAGACTTCCTTCTCCTGAGAAAGGCAACAGGGGAACGGTTCTGCAGAAAGCCAGGGCAGCCTGCGGGCAGCGCACAGGGGACGCTGCTGGTTCTGCCTGCCCTGCCTTGGGGTCTTGTACGAGTCACTACGCCTCCCTGAATCTCTGGTTTTGCTTCCACTCTGATTTTTTGGGGGTTTGCTTGTTTAGAGTGTGAGCAATTCAGTGCTGGGCCCCTGCACTGCCGTACAAGCAATCTCGGGTGGGCTCCTCAGCTTTTTGCAGCACATGTGATAAGTCATAGCAGCAATAATGGTCCAGCTCCTGTGCGATACCTGCTCCAGCTTTGCTAGTTGCTCAGCACAGACGTCAGTCCGTTCCTAGCACAGAGAAGGGATTGTACGTTTGTGACCATACAGCTCCAGCACGGCAATGACTGACATGGCTGCAAGCACTGAATTTCCTTTTGGAGTCATCCCTGCTTAACACTGACTCTCCCCAGTTCCTGTGTCGCAGCTCCCGGTTCCTGTGTCACAGCTCCTTTATGACAGTGCCCTTTTCTTGCCATTTCTTGTGTTGAATTAATCAGAACTCCCCATCTACCACTATAAGACACACTGTGCATTAAATGTTCATTACAAGTTCTGTTAAGACAATATCTTCTCACAGAGGAGAGGTGTTAAACTTCTGACTACTATTTTCAAGTGTTTTCTTTCTTCTGTACTCAACCCAAGGCTGATTAATTCTCTCTGTCGTTGTACTAGCTCATGAATTTTAAAGTTCATCCTGCCATTTCCTTATGCAGCTCTATCAGATACTCTGCAAAATACAGGGAATGCAGTCTGAAGTACAGAAGCTCAAGCTGTCAGCAGGACAAAGTGAAAATACTCTGCTCACAGATACTCTGGGAATCCCACTCAGTATGGAGAGACCTGCCAGGGAATACTCCCAGTGATGAATAATGTTCAAAAGGGTTCCCTTCAGACAACTTATTTTAAACCCCAGATTTTCTGAGATACAGAGACGACCCTGGCTTCCATTGCTGAAGATAAGTCAAATCAAGTCAAGACTTCAATCTGTTTTTACTGTTTTTATCAGCCTACATTTCGACAAATGCCTTGCTACCTTTCATATTTTCACCATCAACCCTATATCTCTTCAGCAGTCAATTGCCTTTTCTTAGCTTTACATTATCTGTTTGGCCACTGAAGTGAATTATAGCATATTCATTGTGAACAATGCATATCATCTTTATCATTTATTCTGAAAAGACATCAATTGGTTAGAAAAAATATATCTGTATTCACTTCCTGCATTGTACAAAGCCAAGGGCAGCACATACAAGATTTCATTAGCACTGTGTTACAGGGTTATGAGAGATTTTAATGACTGTGGTCATTTAGTCATAAAAAAACACAATATCTGATTAATATAGGTTCAACAGCAAAATGTCCCATGCTGTGTTATTCAGAAAAGAGTATTTCCCATACCTTTAGCCTATTTATATAGGTATTAGGAAAAGCTTAGCATTTAATGAATACTTTACATTTAAAAAGGTAATTAAATAAGAGGTGAGTTTATAATATATTATAGTATTACAGAGGATATTTTGGCAGTCTGCGTGGTCTCTTTATGCATATACTTAACATCAGTATTCCTGCTCTAAGATTTTGAACATCTCCAAACATCCTTGCAAGGGGAAGTATCACACCCTGAGCCAGACCATAGGACAGAACCGTACATTTTTGCCCAGACAGGACTAGGACAGACCCAGATGTGTAGTTGCAGCCAGTATGCACACTTGGGACTGGAGTTATCACAGCATACTGGGGTCTGGAGACTGGAATGCGTACTGCCCCACATTAGTGGGACAGCAAACACCAAGAGATTTGCTAAGCTGTCTACAGGCTGAAGCCTCTTACATCATGACTGGAAGTCCCTGCAAGGAGACACCTTCATACATAGATGCTTATGCATGATTTGAGAACCACCAATCGAGATCCACAGCCTTTGCTCTACTAAGGGTCAGATTTCAAACCTGAGAAACTATGAATTGTGTTTAAGGAGTGTCTCTGGCAAGTTCTACACATCTGCAGCACAACTCACGGCAAAGTAAGAATCATAACGAATTTTTTGGGGTGAGGCATCTACTTTGTTCTCTGTTTACCGCTCACATAAATAAATCAGGTATTAGAACCAAGCAGTCATAGCACAGCATACTAAAGTGTGCAGGAGGTTTCTGTGGTGCTATCATTTCTATATGGAAATGTATTATTGAATATTGGGCACTTATTTTTGATAATGATGGAAATGGGTTTTACAAGAATTTTCATGGTCTGAAATATCTGAAAGCAGCCAGCTCAGATTAGAGCTCAGATTAGTAGACTTTTAAACTTCTTGCAGCAAGTGAAAACCACTTCCTTTAATCCCCCCAATCATTTAAATAATATAAGCAGCAAACAAAAAAGAAGCAAACCCTAAATTCTCCTGAATTACAAGGTTCCAGTTATGTACTTTAATTCACATACAGCAAAATACCTACCTAGGTCTGCATAGTTAGACTTGCAAAATTGCTTGCGTCCACAGAAGTACAGCTCAAAGTCAGGTTCATTTGACCTGCGTAAAGTGTATCCATTTTCAAGAGCAGCAAAGGCGTCACAAGTGTAGCGGTAGGTGATGAAACCATAGCTGTCTCTGCAATTGAAAAATACAGTTGTGAACAAAAGCTGAAAAGAGTTAACGCACATTAGTGTAACCCCTTCCTGAAAGCAAGAACTTGCAGGAGATCCAGCAGTGGAAATGCCAGAAGTACTGCATCCATTTATCAGCATGATTGTCCTGTCATGCAGCTAAATACTTATTTCTGGGACAGGAAATCTCAACTAGCAAGATTAATAAATAAGGATGAAAGAAAACAAATAAGGTTTTGAACTCAGCATGTCATCTGTCACAGCACTTACATTGGTAACTCCCATACCAGTTCTGCCATAATTTTTTACATATGGCAGCTCCCAAACATGGAGTAATCTCAAAAGTTCTTACCCATCATCCCGCAAATTTACTGTGCACTCCTCAATTTCACCAAAAACTTCAAACCGGTCCCTCAGTTCTGTTCGGGTTGTATCAGGTCTGATTTTACCCAGATAAATCACACGACGTTCCTCCTGTTGAGAAACAGCCAACAGGGGAGGTATATTTTTAAAAATGTGTAATAGAGATGAACCTATACATATATGCATGCAAATACACACACATGGATGTGCAGAGGATGCATAATTATAGTAATAGTCTCTTGTGGAAGACCTACTGCATCTTGCTAGTAAGTGAAATACTTCTCTCCTGGAAAGCATCTAAGGTATTTAAATGACACTGCATTTGTCAGGTGGTGTGCTCCTGGAAGGTTTCACTGCTTGCTGTCACTGTTCCGCTATACACTGACAGACAGCTCCCTTTGTATCCTACTGCACCTTCTTCCCTTCCAGCCTTTCTACCACTTCCCCCCAAGACTGGAAACTTCCAAACCAGGAGCTCCCTTTCTCTTGCCATGTATACAATACTGGGCAAAACCCGTCTTAGTTGTGGAGTAGTATAAAGTAACACAATAATTGCATAAAAGTACTATAAACAAAATGTATTACAAACATAACATTTTAAACTCAGATGACTCAATAGCTGATTCATCCTTCAATCAGCTGTTCCACCATAATCCATACCTTAAAATAAGAGTGAAAACTGTTAGCAGTACAGAAGATGAGTTTTACTGAAACAAATATTTCTGGGGGGAAGGCAGGACAGTAAAATACATCCTGTGGTCACCATTACCTTTTTGTTTCTTCAAAAAAAAAACCCTGAATGAAGTCCCTGGCTTTTATAGGCTAGGGTGCTATTTGTATGTTCCTTCAACACTTGGAGCAAAGCATAAAAGATGCTTTTAAAACAATCAAGTCATGGTCATATCCTTCCTTCTTGAGTGAAAATGCTCAGCAGAATGACAGAAGGACTAAGAAGCCCTGTGAGATTCACTTTATGAATTTTTGGATCAACACTTTACTGAGGGTAGAGCCATTTAGTGAGCTGCAAGCAAAGCAACAGGCAAAAAGAGATCTTCAAACCACTGACCTTAAGGTAATCAGGGCAAAGAAACACCAGCTACACATGGCTTGGGTGCTCAGCCTTCCTGTCTCAGATTGCTTCTGGCCTGAAGAACCCTGGCACTACTGGCCCTACTGCTCATCCCTTACGCACCCGCACATTCGTCCCATAAATCGAACCACCACCACCACCACCACATTCTCAGCTGGTGTAAATCTGTCAGTCAGCGGAGCAATGTCAGTTTAAACCATCAGCTTTGGCACCTGAGACTTGCGCAGAATTTAGGTGCCAAATACCGAAGGAGCTATACTGACTGCTGAGAATTCATGACTATTGTAACCTGGAGGTGCCTAAAGGCTAATGGCACCTCAACTGTGCAATGCAAAAGGCTCTAGGGACCTAAATATAGACTTCCATTC